CTGTGTCGACGTTATAATATATCGTTGGCTTGGCCTTGGGCCGCCGCATGTGCGACGTTGAGGCGTTGCCTCTTGGATGCAGGCAAAGTTGCTAGCAAACAGTATTCGTAAAAAAACTACCTAAATGTCTATTAAATAATGTCTATTAATTCTTAAAGAAATTAATAAAAGAATCAAATAGTTCATCAAATGGTTTTATGCAAAATAAAGAAGTATATGAAAAGTTAATGTAAAGTCATTTAAAGTGGCGCCCTGGTGCAAAAGGCATAGTGATGAATGGTTTAGTAGGCACTCGCAACGCAATCAGCTGAGCGCGGGCGTCAACCGGCCCGGCGGTCATTCTTACTTATTATAAATTTTAATATGTGTGTAATATTTGTAAAATAAATAAGGCATTTTCTTTGACGATTTATTCTGACATTGTTTAGGTACTACAAAATACAGACTTAAAAGGAGTAAGACATGACAACAAAACCTTAAAAGGTGTTGTTTTGTAAATGTATTATATTCTGTAAAGAGTGATCTCGCTAAAATTTTTTGTAATGATGTAACCAATATATTCCCAAAAGGTCTTTAGTAAATTAAAAATGACCCTGTATATATATATATATATATATATATATATATATATATATATATATATATATATATATATATATATATATACAGGGTATTTTTGGAACGCTCCCGAAAACTAAGACAGGCGACAGCACCAAGTATACCTTTGATCATGGGTCATAAATAAATTTGATCCTGATGAAAAAAGACATATTTTTACAACGTTTTATTAGCTTTATTCACGCGCCATCATGTTAGTACAGCTAAATGAAACGATAATTTCATAAAAAAAATCATGAAAATACTGAAACATAAAACCAGCAGTGGAAACTGAATTGATATCACCTGACTAATGGAGGTTAATGTACGCGCGAACGGTGAAAAAAGAACGCTGGCCTTGAACTTGGGCACTGAGCGATTTATCACATATTGGCCAGTATTACTGTGCCTGCATGCTATTGGTTCCCGCGCCAATACACCATCAACATCTGGCTTCCATGTGACCCAAGACGTCATAATGGACGGCGTGTCACCCTTAGCTTAAGTTTTTTTGTTACAAACTACTTTATATTTTACGATAGAAATAAAAAACAATGCTCAAGTAAACATTATCTATTTTTAATTCCCACCTCTTCCAAAGTTCTAAGTAGCTAGTAAAACACCTATTATGATTCTACAATAAAACAATTAATTACTATAATATTATAAAACAATAGCCCAATACCATGTAGTACTTTAGAACGCGACTGTACCCACACTCACTCCGCTGTCGACCTGTATCTAGCTCGGTATGAAACAATGCTGCGTTCATAAGAAAAAAGGGCGCATCTAACAATTTTCGAATAAATTACCATTCGACTCATGATAAGAAGACGCATCTACTAAATTTTTTTAATATTCACTAATATCAATATTTTAGAAATTATCGTCAGAATTTTAGACGTAGCTGTTGATCACAGATGACATTTTATTAGTAGAAAAGACTTATACAAATTCAACATAAAAGAAAAGACTTATTTAACCAGTTGCTATGTCATCTTTAACAATATTTGCATCGATTACTTAAATTTAAATTATTCTTGTCTTATTATTTTATATCTTATTATTAAGAGCTCATATCTTATTATTAAGAGCTGGTGTTTCACATGTGGTCCCATATAAATTTGATCGAGGTCAGACCAATAGTTTATGAGTTATCCTTAATTATTTATATTAAAGTCGATTGTACAAATGTTTTAATTATTATCGTAGTAAGTCTTGTATGATATCCCCTTTAAAATCATTACTCAAGAGTTGCGGGTTGTTATTTTTTGTGTCTCACTACCAATGCTTTTCTAATATTTACTAAGAAAAAAGTAGTAAATTACTATTAGCGTCCTTTCAACTTCAAATGACCTTTCCAAAATATGTAAAAATGTTAAATGAATGGTAGTTTTGTTTTATTTATTAGGTTGGGAAGACCCAAATAGTTATATGCGTCTTTCCTTCGATGTTTTTGTGTTGCCAGGTGTACTTTTTTAATCTAAGATGAAAAGGAAAATTCGTTTTATTTAAATAAATAAACAAATTAAAAAAAAAATAAGTTCGTCCTTAAAATCTTCATGTCTCTACGTATATATTTCAATATAGATACCTTTTAATATACTTTAGACACGGGGTCTGAAAGAAAAATTCATCAATTTATTTTTTATTTCCATTTTACGTTTTTGTTAGTTACTTCCTTTTTTATTATGACGGCAGAATGCCTAACCCTGTCGCCTCACGCTTGTGACGCAGTAGGTTTCAGCCTTGACGGGGTTCGTTCGTTTTAGTTTTTGAGACAGTTCCGTGTTGATTTTGTACACGCGTGCGCGAGCGACAGTTCAATCGTTTTGTTTAATAAATTTACTTGTGATTACGTGTTGATATTAAAGTTTTTGTTACGTTTTTGGATTCTTTTTTGTTTTAATAATGCCTAACGCGTACGTTTATAGTGGTCAACATGTTAGGTATCCGAACCTAGGTACACGAGTATCGCTAAATAAATTGTTAAGACGTCGGGATGGAACAAGTGTGTCATAATGTGCAGTGCACAAAGTGTTGAAGCGTAACCAATGCGCCCATACAAATTGCACAAAGTGCAAGCTTTAGTTCCCGGCGATCACGACCGCCGACGAGTTTTCTGCCGTTGGTTATTATACCAGTAACAACGTGTGCCTGGTTCCATTGAGCACATTATCTGGACGGATGAGTCGACATTTACCAGAAACGGCCTGTGGAACCGAAGAAATACACACGTATATTCAGAGGTTAACCCGCACGCTGTTCGACAAACCGGGCACCAAACCCGATGGTCGGTTAACGTATGGGCAGGTTTATTTAACGATCGCATACTGGGACCAGTGTTTCTGCCAGAGCGACTGAACGGACAGCGATACCTAAACTTTATAAATGAACAGTTGGTTGACATGTTAAACGACCTATCGTTGGCTGAATATCGCCGCACATAGTTCCAACATGATGGTGCCCCTCCACATTTCGTGAGGTTCGTCCGTGAGCGCCTCAATGAGCTATTTGATGATCGCTGGATCGGCAGACTAGGACCACACGCTTGCCCACCTCGCTCACCAGATCTGACTCCGTTAGACTTCTTTTTGTGGGGTATGTGAAAGAAAGGGTTTTTAATCGTGAATGTGATAGTGCTGAAGAAATGCGCCAAAGGATCGTGGATGCTTTCGAGAAACTACGTACGGACTGTGTCGAAGACCACACGATGATGCCCCGCCTGCACCCAAATCTGCCTTGAAATGAATGGAGCTCAATTTGAGCCGCATCTCATAAGACCACGGAGGATTTAGAGCAGTAAGCTGTTTCATAACTATTTTTTTTTAAATAACTTAGTACTAGACTAATCTGAATAGGTACATAACTGAATACATGAGAATAATAAACATACCTACACGATGAATAAAAACGCATGACTCCAACCTTGGTTACATTTCATTTAAGTATTTCTTCATTAGCGGGGAATCGAACCAGTTATTTGGGTTATTTAACCTGTAAATTCGGATTAAAGTGGCTACGTGGAGATAAGCACAGTGGCAAAATAGTAGGTTAAGTAGATAAGTTAGGTATTTAGACACGTGTTGTAAATTATTATATTGTGGGATGGCCCGCTAGTTGCGGGCCGCGCGAATTTGTGTTCGCGCGTACATTGACCTTTATCTAGCTCAGGTCAGGTGATATCAATTCAGTCATTCCACTGCTGGTTTTATGTTTCAGTATTTTCATGATATTTTTTATGAAATTATCGTTTCATTTAGCTGTACTAACATGATGGCGCGTGAATAAAGCTAATAAAACCTTGTAAAAATATGATTTTTTTTTCATCAGGATCGAATTTATTTGTAACCCATGATCAAAGGTATACTTGGTGTTGTCGCCTGTCTTAGTTTTCGGGAGCGTTCCAAAAACACCCTGTATATATATATATATATATTTTCTTTTCTGTCTTATTGCAACTTTACAAAGATTACTATAAGCATGCTTCTTTCAAAATTTGTTATACTCTTTCGAATGCTTATTAAGATACATTTTACTTGTTTCACTATAAATAGTAACTTTTATTATCAATATTACAAACTTATTTTCGCAAAATCCCTTTTATTATTATATTCCTGTGCCATAATTATTCTTTTTTTTCTTTTTTTTGTTATATTCCCTTTTTATTTTCTCTTTTTTTTTGTACATACATACATACATACATAAACACTCACGCCTGTCACCCAGAGGGGTAGGCAGAGACTACGGACTTCCATTTCTTTTTTTTTGTTGGATGTGTAATTATGTTTTTTTTTTAATTTATACATATTTACTCTTATCACGACTTTAAGCTACTGTTTGCGTTAAATTCTGTTACAAACACCCTTTTTTACAGTTATTTACAGTTATACCTAATTTTATAAATATAATAATTACTATATAAACTTTTTGTTATATTACTATTTTCCTTTTTTTATTATTCACGGTTATAACCTTATTTTTTTTTAATATACTAACTATTATATAAACTACCTATTATATTATCATATTTACTTTATACAATTTTAATGCATTGTCCATTGCTTTAATTTTATATACTTTTAACTTATAAAACTATGCTATTTTGGACCCATTTGCTTTTGCTGCAGTACGAACGACTATTTCTGCATATTTTAGGAAATGGGTCCGACAGTCATCGTTGTTGATAACGTATTTTAGGGTAGTATCATTAATTGCAATTCCCATCTTCTGCTCACATTCCAATCTTTTCATGGCGAATCTCGGGCAATCTAATAACAGGTGTAAAATTGTTTCGCCTATTTCACTACTGCATACACAAGATGGGGACTGCGTTAATTTGTACTTGAATAAATACGCCTTAAAACCTCCATGACCCGTTAAGAGTTGTGTCTTAACGTTATCTATTTTAATATTTTTAAGTGTGCTTGTCTTATGTCCGGAAAGAATATCTTCGTGACTGCTCCTGTTGTAACTTTATTGTATCGTTGTTGCCACCTCATGCAGTTAGAGTTCCTGGTGAGTCGCTTCGCGAAGGACATAGGGCACTTATCATAAGCTGCGGCTTGTTTGTTTGTCAGTGCTGCCTTCTTTGCAAGTTCATCAGCTCTTTCGTTGCCGGATATACCAATATGCGCTTTGACCCAGTAGAACTCAATATCACCGTCTTTATTTTTTAATTCTTTTAAGCGTTCTCGTATTTCAACTGCAAGAGAGTGGAGAGATGAGCTGTCGGTTAGGCACTCTGATCGTGAGTCACTTAGTATTATTGCTTTCTTTAATTTGCTGATCTTGCACATCATGTCAAGTGCTTTAAGAATCGCAGTAAGTTCAGCCTGATAAACACTACAGTAACTTTCTAACCTAAATGTTGATTTGAGTATCTCTTTACCCTCTCTCCACACACTGACAGCGCCACCTACTTTGTCTTCTAACTTACTGCCGTCCGTGTATAGCCTCGGCCTAAGGCCTTCGATTGCGTTTTCTTCTTCTTGTGTGACTACCATCTTGAAAGATACACGGTACTTTTCAGCGGGATGGGGTAAACAGAATGGCCTTATTGGTTTTTCTATGGTTCTTCCTGGTAGTTGTGTTAGTGGCTTTAGAGACGTGAATGAGATTGTCCTGTGGACTTTGCAGATCTTAATTGCAAACATTCTTGATATACGTTCTAATCTTTTCCTTATGTATTCTTTTTTCGCTACCGTGGCCCATACACTTGCCGCATAAAGAACAGTTGGCTCCACTACAGCTACATATATCGTTTTGACTATCTCTGAGTTAAGACCCCAGTTGGCTCTTGCTGTTCTCGATAAGGTTTTATAGATGTTTAGTGCTTTTCTGAGAACTTCATCTAAATGTTCTACGAAATTTAGATTTGTGTCAAAAGTAATATCAAGTACTTTCAGACTCGAAGATGGTTTAATAATGATATTGTTCATTTTAATTGTAGGAATTTCATACGATAGCTTTTTTGTGATTACTATTGCTTGAGTTTTATGTGGTGCGAAGTTCAATTTGTATTTATTCCCCCATGCCACTTTTCGCGTTAAAGCCGGGTTTAGTTTTTCTTCTACTGCATTAGCTGAATGTCCTTTTGCAATAACAAGTATGTCATCCGCATACGCCTGTATACGGACATTTAGTTTTGAAATTGATTCGAGAAGGAGATTTAAAAGAATATTCCAGTGGATAGGTCCACAGGTAGACCCCTGTATACACCTTTGGTGGTTGATTTTGTGACTTCTGCTCCTGCATACTTTACTGAAATGCTTCTAGATGACAGATAACTAGTGACTAACCTGAGAATCTCTGGACTAACCCTTTTCTTTTTCATTTCTGTGATTATTTGGGGCCACCAAGCATTATGCCCCTTCTATGTCAAGGGATACTACTACAACGATCATTTCTTCTTTGATGCCCTGTCATATCACCGTCATTTTATCATATAAAGCGTCTTCTGTGCTGCGCTGTGGCATGAATCCGTATTGCAAACTGTTGAGTTTATCTTAACTTCATAACTGCCATAGAAGTCTCCCTACAAACAATTTTTCTAAAATCTTCCCAAATACCGGTAGTAATCCAATAGGTCGATTAGTCGATTTAGGTACTGAATAATCATCTTTCCCAGGCTTTGGAATCACTTTTATAACAGCCTTTTTCCAGATCTCGGGGAAGTGCCCTAATTGTAGACACTTATTGAAAATTGCCTTCAGAGTTGACAGTGACGTTTTGTAAGCCTCATAGCAGATGTCTGATGTTACCGTACTGACGATACCGTCTTCTCCTGGTGCCTTTTTGGGGTTCATTTTTTGTATTATCATTTCTATTTCTTCTTCGGTGAATTTCCGAAAATTAATAGAGTCATATCTTAGATCTTCAATGATTGCATTCGATTTATCACGAACTTTTCCTTGTTCTTCTGTGCCCTTATTGACTTCATCTTCAGGGTAGAATACTTTAGCTAGTAACATAGCTGAATCATCTGGATTTAGAGTTTTTTCTCGTAAACGCAAAAGTTTGTCTTCGCTTATTGTTGTGCATTTCCTAATAATTCTGTTAATGCTTTGCCATATTGTCTCTTTTTCCTGCTTTGAACAAAGCCCCTTCCAGCTCACAGTAATTGTAGACATTATGTTACCCACATATTTTTCTTTAGCTGCTGTAAATTCTTGGATAAGGAAGGGTTTACGCCTAGCATTCGTAAATCTTATTCTTCTTCTTAATCTTATTAATTCTCGTCGTTCAGCTCCTAACTCCTTAGTCCACCAGGGTGTGCAGGTTGTGTTAATCTTTTTAGAGATAGGTGGTATTGCCCTTTTACTAGCAATGCTGAGTTGTTTAATGTATTTGTCTAAAATGTTTTACAAATCATTTGTTGTTTTTATCAGATTAACTTTTATTTCTGTAATTTTGTCATTTTCTAACCCTTCTTTTAAAACACCTCTAAGAATTGACCAATTCGCCTTAGCGGTGTTAAATAGACGTGTGGACTTTCTGGGGGAAGTGTTTTGTTAGTCTATGATAATTTTTATTTGCAATTGAATTGCTCGATGATCAGAAAGTGTAATAAAGTCTGGATCTACTCTCCATTTCTCTACCATGTGTAGTAACGCAGATGTACAAGCGTTTACATCCACTAGACTACTATAGAGTTTTCCAGGTCGATACTGATAGATTGTAGGGTTGTTTCCTTGGCTTAGTATGTTCATGTTCATTTCTGCTATCATTTCCGATAAGTGTAATCCCCTCCTGTCTTCCTCTCTGCTATCCCACCAAGGACTCTTTGCATTGAAGTCCCCTGCCAAGATGATGTCCATGTTCAGTGCAATTTTCACAATGTTTCTGATATCTTCATCTAGGTCCCCATTTTTTTCCAAGTTACTCCTATACTATCGTTTCCTACTTTAATTATAAAACCTTCTATATTTTTACTTATGTATTCTGGATTTTCTATAATCAAGTACGTGGGATCAACAACGATGACTGCCGATTTAACCGGTTTATCAATTATGTTAGTCACTTTTTGAATAACGCGGTGATTACAAGTAACATGCCTTTTTGAACCGATATATGGTTCTTGCAGTAATAGAAGTGTAATTTTTGGTTGACTGCCATTTGTAAAGATTCTTTATATGACGCCATTCCTCGTCCAAGATTAACTTGCACGATTTTTACAGTTTGCGTGTCTTCTGGCATATTATTTATAATGTTTGTGCTCATCTGTGTTTGTTCGATGCCAATTCTCTGATCTACTTTAGCAGTACGTAACTAAGGATCTCACTATTTGGTCCCATTTCTGCCATACTAAGCATTCAACACTGTATGCTGCGTGACTATGGTCCCCCTTGACTTTATTTTTAATGCAATTCGCACATGAAGGTGCTCTGTTATTTCATGGACATTGTCTGCTGTCATGTTCACCTGCGCAATACCCACAGGTTGATCTATCAGCTGCACACTCGTTTGCTCTATGTCCGAAACTTATAGAGTAACCTACGTATATTAGAGATAATCAACGCGGTGACCCCTTTTCGTTTTGTGGGTGGCGTTGCGACAGGTCGCTCTGGGAAAACACCAGAAGAGAAACATCGTGAGGAAACCCGCAAAAATAGTCCGTAGTAGTAGTGGCTCTGTGCAACCTTTAAACGTTGTACTTAATGCGTGAGAGCCTTTGGGAAAAAGTGCCAATGGAATTGTTTCTTGCTGATTTACAACGTACCCGTCGGTTAAAAAAACATAACGAGGAAAGTCGCCAACACTCACTGCAGCAGCACAGTGGACTTAGTGCTCTAGAACAATCATAGAAGGAAGGCCTCTACGCAGCAGTGAGATGTGTAGAGTCTGTAATATTTACATAATGCGTTCCTTCGAGAACTTATTCTATATTCATAATAACACTTACGTTTCTAACAATAACGTTACTTATTCATGTTTTCGTGTCCCTGTTGAGTTTGTGACTATTATGGGATAACTTATACTGTAGTTTATTGCAAAATCCTTAGTTAAGTCTAAAATGTTTGGTATTTTAGATACAACATGGCTAATGTTAACCTGACCCTACCCAAGTTTCTATAGTAAGACCGCATCACTTAAGCGTATTATAATTATGCGTTAAAGTTTAACTAATAATGCATGCCGGTTGCTTGAAATATTTAAGGCGATACAGCGAAAAAATGCACTTGCTTTCATCGAATAGTATAAGAGTATGACACGAATAACGAAACTGGAATTTTGATATAGGTAAATTCATGTCTTTATCTTGATTTTGCTTGTTCAAAAACATGATTGTAAAATTTTGACTCGATCATAATTATTTACGAAAATCTCTAAAAAATCACTATAGTTGAAATTACAGCGAAATTACTTAATCTGTATGCTTGGGAACCACTCAAATACATTAATAACATCAATATTAATAATTTACTTGCTCATTATTTTGAATACTAAAATCAATAATTTTTAAAAAATATTTTAAAATTCTAATTCTAACGATTTCTAAGCGGTTTTAATAGTCGCGGGCGCTACGAAATTTTAGACGTTATGACGGCGTTTTTGAAGTTTTTATAGAAATTATGTTTCACTCGGGTCAGTACGGCAATAGCCCGCTTCAACGGTTTCGATGTGTCATCTTAAATAAAAACTTTTGTCTTTATTTATTTAAGGATTTAGTGTTGTCTTTAGATATGTCAATTCCAACATATTAACCTTGTTATTTATACCGTTAAGTATCGTTACAGCTAGATATTTTTATCATTGTTACTATGCCTGGTAGGCGAGTTGGCAGCCGCAGTCATTTTGGACGAAGTTCTTTGTTGGACGGTACGAATTTGGCAGATGGGGGCTAGGCGAGAAAAAGTAAGATTTTTCCGTCACGACCCCTTCTGACGTAGTATAGACGGCTTTGGCGGCTATGAGGAAGCGATGTGGAATAATATCCATCTCCCTCGCACTTTTTCTTATCTTGCCATAAAATAATGCTTCATTTTAATATACGCTAGTAATTCATTTATTTGTATTTGATAATCAATAATATACTACATTTATCAATAATAATATATTAGAATCGTTAGTAGCCTAATGGAAGGGCGCGGACCGCGAACTCGAAAGTTCATAGGTTCGAATCCGCCATTCGACTACTGTCGTGAACCACTTCCAACACAAACATTTTAAGCTTACCAGAAGTGGTTTAAGGGAATATTAGTAATGTTTAATAGCATTACTAGTATTTTTAAAAAAATACTACGAAAGGAACTTCGTTCCAAGCGAGTGTTGCACGACAGTCATGCATGTTTTTTATTTTCTGGTTATTATTAGGAAAACGCTGCTACCCATCTCATGGTTTATCTCTTACGACACTCAAGGGACGATAAGGAATGTAGGGTATTTCTACAGTGCCACTACACGGTTCACCGAGAAAAATATACATAGACTTATATTTCTCTAACCAACAACAAATCAGTTTCTAATTTAACTAAATAGTAACTGGGTAACCGAGTTTTGTTCGGCGCTACAAAAATAAAATATATTTTTATCAAGGATGACACATAAACTTGAAAAGTAAAACGTTATCTAAATACTCCGTCGAAGTCATTAGAGCCGTTTTCGAGAATTCATATTCATATGTATCAGAATTAGGTATCATACAAGGCGACAGAGGGAAATGAAAAATAAAATAAGCAGCAGTATCCCTGTAAACGATCCAACGTGGTAGAGCCATACTACAGCTACATTATGATCTTACAGAATATCAGCGTAAAATTGCAGCTCAATGCTGTTGATTATCGTATGGTGAGTGTAGCGAACCGGAAACTCTTTTTACTGGAAACGAGCTGTTCCATCTTAGTCCTCAGGGGTGGCAACGCATCCGCATTTTGATCCCTAATTAAGGATTGATGTAGATGTTGGATGGGCCACAGCATCTACTTACCATCAGGTGGACAACGTGATCGTTTGCCACCCTTATGCTATAAAAATGCTGTCTAACAATCAATGTAGGAGTTGACGGCAGATGTTCAAATGCTTTAATGAAGAATTACCATCAGGAAAATTGTTAGTACATCTACTTATATTGTAGTATTGTAAAAAAAAACTTCCTGGTATTTACTTGCTATTCACAAGCTGATTAAATTATCAAAATTTGATTACGCTTCACAAAGCAGATCCGACGATTTTCCAGAGGCTTAATCGGCCATCTGTTAGATGGCTTAAATTCTTTGCAAAAAGCGTAAATACCATACCTAAGTCGACTTACGGCATATATTCGACAAAGGACGGAATAAGGTATACTGACATTTTCTTTTAGCTAGTCTTTCGTTTACTTTATTTCACTAGATTTGATTTTAATTCAGAAGATGATACGTGCTTACACTAGCTTAATTCAACAATAAGCAGAGCCCGTCTTATGTTTTTAAGTTTAACCAACACATCGCTTTATTTAATTAGGCGGATTTCCGCCAAGTAATACCTGATTCTTTTAACTATAACCATCTTAATAAACGTTGTTTATTAATATTTTCGAGTTTACCGAAATTATGGTTTAAAAAAAATTAACGAAACAATGATGAAATTTGACATTTTGCTGTCAAATCCCATATTTTTCATTTTAGTAGTTCGCATATTTTCCGCGGGACTTCTTATTTGAAACAGACTGGTTTATGCCTAAGACTATTATTTGTATAAACCTTTTTTACATTATTACGGTTCAATAAATATATTGTAATACATTTTGCCAATTTTTTCAATGCCTACATAATTCATCAGCGAAACGTTGCATAGAGTAGGTTTTTCAAGAATAATAGCAACGCTACTGACTTTTCATTATTCCCGATAACCACTTCAACTAAGCGGAATGTACTTGTACTCGGAGCAATTTACGACATTAGTCGAATGGGTATTCGTATTCACGGATTATTATATTCGTGACTTGTATCCTAAATCTTTAGGCTCCAATGGCATTTTTTTAATAATATATTAAATTAAGAAAAATATAATCTGTGCGTCCTGCCCTACTATTTCGACTTTTCTAAATACAATTATTGCAGGCTCAAAGTCTCTTTACACATTAAATTAAATTATTTTATTAAATATACGTCTCTAATATTAATAAAAAATAAATAAAGTCTTAAAAATT